TAGAACTTTAAGTTTCAAGTTCAACATACTTCCGTAAGAGCTATATATGCTTTTTATTTTTTGGTCCGGTCTTTGTTATGCTGAATGTGATATGTTCAAATCTCCCATTAGCAGAAGGTATTCATAAAGGTCTCCTTCCATGTTCTTTCATTTTGCCTTATAAAAAGTATTTCTGTGTCATTGGTGGTGTAGATATGCTTAACTGCTATATCTGTATTGTTAATTATGGTTTTTATTATAAATAAGCATCCTTTTTTACTTGTACTGTTTTTTCATTTGAAATTTACTTTCTTAGGCATCAAATCATGATTTCTGTTTTCATACTGCTTCCATTTGCTTGGTACACTTTTCTCATTCCTTTATTTATTTAATTAATTAATTAATTAATTAATTTATTTTTTTAACGTTTATTTATTTTTTTTGGGACAGAGAGAGACAGAGCATGAACGGGGGAGGGGCAGAGAGAGAGGGAAACACAGAATCAGAAACAGGGTCCAGGCTCTGAGCCATCAGCCCAGAGCCCGATGCGGGGCTCGAACTCACGGACGGCGAGATCGTGACCTGGCTGAAGTCGGACGCTTAACTGACTGCGCCACCCAGGCGCCCCATCATTCCTTTATTTTTAACCATTATAAATCACTGGGTTTTAAGAGTTTCTCATGTATACAGAATATAGTTGGGTTTTCCTTTTTAAGTCAAAGTAAAAATTTTTCATTCTTTTTTTTTTTTTTTTTCAACGTTTATTTATTTTTGGGACAGAGAGAGACAGAGCATGAATGGGTGAGGGGCAGAGAGAGAGGGAGACACAGAATCGGAAACAGGCTCCAGGCTCTGAGTCATCAGCCCAGAGCCTGACGCGGGGCTCGAACTCACGGACCGCGAGATCGTGACCTGGCTGAAGTCGGACGCTTAACCGACTGCGCCACCCAGGCGCCCCTAAAATTTTTCATTCTTAATTGTCTTTTAGGTTCATTCAAGTTTGTTGCTGTTACTGATATATTTGTTTTCCTGTCATAATGTTGAGAGCGTGATGTTATATTTTCTTGGGTTTCTTCCTCCAGTTGATTTTTTTTTTCTTTCTCACTAATTATATTTCTTTTGATGTTTTGGGAAGTTTTTGCTTGTTTGTTTTAGTGGTTAACTTTAATATCACATTTATTTATTTATTTATTTATTTATCTATTTATTAAATGCTTATTTATTTTTGCCAGAAAGAGAGAGAAAGAGAGAGACTGACCGTGAGTGGGGGAGGGGCAGAGAGAGAGGGAGACACAGAATTCGAAGCAGGTTCCAGGCTCTGAGCTGTCCACACAGAGCCCAATGTGGGAGTCGGACTCGCAAACTGTGAGATCATGACCTGACCCGAAGTCAGTCGCTTAACCGACCCCTACCCAGGCACCCCTTTAATATCACATTTATATCATGTTTTCTTTGTATCATGTTCAATGCCCTTAAACCACTGTTTTCTTATTAACTCTGTTAATTTTTGGTTTGCCAATTTTTTTTTCAAATTTTTATTTAAATTCTAGTTAATTAACATATAGTGTAGTATTGACTTCAGGTATAGAATTTAGCAATTCATCACTTACGTATAACACCCAGTGCTCATGCCAACAAGTGCCCCCCTTAATGCCCATCACACCCATGTAACCCGTCCCCCCCGACCTCCCCTCCAGCATCCCTTAGTTTGTTCTCTATAGTTAAGGGTCTGTTTTATGGTTTGCCTCTCCCTTTTCTTCCCCCATGTTGATCTTTTTTTTTTTCTTCTTAAATTCCACGTATGACTGAAATCATATGGTATTTGTCTTTCTCTGACTGACGTATTTCACTTAGCATAATACACTGTAGCTCCACCCGCTGGCTTGCCAATTTTTCTTAAGAAAGAGAGACGGCACAAGTGAGCAAGAGGCAGAGAGAGAAGAAGGGAGAGAGAGAGAGAGAGAGAGAGGGAGGGAGGGAGGGAGGGAGGGAAGGAGAGAAAGAGAAAGAGGAGCGGGGCTCACCAGGGACTCATGTTTTTACCCAAAGCGGGGCTCGAACTCACCCAAAGCAGGGCATGAGTTCACTTGATGTGGGACTTACCAACGGTGAGAGCATGACCTGAGTCCAAGTCAGATGCTTAACCACGGAGCCACCAGGCGCCCTGCCAATTTTTTTATGGTATCATTTAACTCCCACCTTTTGTGTATAGAAAAATCAATAAAATTATTTTACTTTCCTCTTCCTCTTTCCCTTTCTATTCTCTTCCTAAATTTAATTGCATTTTTAAAAAATTTTTTTAGATTAAATAACATATAATATGTATTGTGTAACCTATAACAGTGCTCTTCTGCCCTTATATCACCTTTATTCTTGTCTTCACTCTAAAATTACTCATATTGGGGCGCCTGGGTGGCGCAGTCGGTTAAGCGTCCGACTTCAGCCAGGTCACGATCTCGCGGTCCGTGAGTTCGAGCCCCGCGTCGGGCTCTGGGCTGACGGCCCGGAGCCTGGAGCCTGTTTCCGATTCTGTGTCTCCCTCTCTCTCTGCCCCTCGCCCGTTCATGCTCTGTCTCTCTCTGTCCCAAAAATAAATAGACGTTGAAAAAAAAATTAAAAAAAAAATAAATAAAATTACTCATATTAAATTTTCCCAGTCATTCCTTGGTTAGTTGAATGTCATCCACCATTTATTTTGTTTTTTTAATTTTTTAACTTTTATTTGTTTTTGAGAGAGAGAGAGACAGAGCATGAGCAGGGGAGGGGCAGAGAGAGGGGGAGACACAGAACCCGAAGCAGGCTCCAGGCTCTGAGCTGTCAGCACAGAGCCCGACGTGGGGCTCGAACCCACAAACTGGGAGATCGTGACCTGAGCTGAAGTTGGACGCTTAGCCGACTGAGCCACCTGGGTGTCCCCACCATTTAATTTCTTAAGCACGGCTTATGGGTTCAGAACTCTCTGAGTTTAACATAGTTTTGAACTTTTTATAGCCTCGATGGCTAGCATGTCTGGATGTAAAACTCTTCATTTCAAACTTTGAGTATATTTTTTCTGTTTTTTTTATTTTAAGGTATACTTTATATACAGTAAAATTCACCCTTTTAAAATTGCACACAAGGATTTATAGTTTTTCAAATTTTGAGTGTATATATATGATATTTGAGTGTATATATATATGATATTATATATCATATATATGATATTATATTTATATTGTATAATAAAAAATATATATTATAGATTATAGATGTATATATGTAAAAATTTAAATTATATATGTATATGTAATTATATATTTGTAATTTATGTATATATGTATATAAATTATATGTGTATATACAATTATATATATGCATATATGTATATGTGTGTGTATATATATATATGTATATGTATATATATATCTGTACAATACACACCACTACCAGACCAAGATATACCAAATAAAGACTCCTTTTCAGTCATCCTCCCACTTTCAGTCCCTGGAAACTAGTGATCTGTTCTCTCTCTTTATAGATTTGCCTTTGAAAAAACATCTTACAAATGGTTGGCTTTTTGAAAAATATTGCTTCACTATTCCTTTGCTTTGTTGTTTTTGTTACTTGTGAGGTCAGTCTCGTTCTTGTGCTCCTATAGATCATTCCTTATTTTTACCTGGAATCCCTGAGGATATTTTCTTTATGTTTAAAATTAAAAAAATAGAATAATCATATGATCCAGTCACTCCACTACTGGGTATGTAACCAGAGAAAATGAAAACACTAATTCAAAAACATATATGCGTCCCTGTGGTTACTGCAGCATTATTTACAATAGCCAAGATATGGAAGCAACCCAAGTGCCCATCGATAGATAAATGAAGAAAGAAAATGTGGCCTATGGATACTATGGAGTATTACTCAGCCATAAAAGAGAATGAAATCTTGTAATTTGCAACAATACGATGGACCTAGAAAGTATAATGCTAATTGACGTCCGTCAGAAAGTCAAATACCATATGATTTCACTCATATGTGGAATTTAAGAAACAAAACAAATTAAAAGAGACAAATTAAAAAAAAACCAACAGACTCTTCAATACAGAGAACAAGCTGGTATTTGCCAGAGGGGAAGTGTGGGGGGGGGATGAGTGAAATAGATGAAGGGCAGTAAGAGTGCTATTATCCTGATGAGCTTTGAGGAACATAGAATTGTTCAATCATTATATTGTACACCTGAAACTCACATAACTAATATAACACTAGTTACACTGTATGCAACACTATAACACTAGTCACTAATACACCTGAAACTAATATAACTAATATAACACGGTATGTTAATTACACTTGAATAAAAATACAAAATATGAAATGCATAGGGTAAAGAGACGGCACAACATGAAAAGGAAACATTAAAAACCTCTCTAAAATCAATATCATGAAAACTTTAAATGCCTGGATTTTATTGCGATGATGTGACCTGGCACTTACGTAATTAGTCATTAATTTGTTAGCCCCTACCGCCTTGTCAAAACATAAATTATAGACTCCATGAAGACGAATGGCTGTTATTGAGTATTTAATATGTGCCAAGCACTTAGTTGGCCAACATTTAAAAAGATCACTTCCAATATATTTATGAAAGACGATGAGTCTCTTTTTCCTTCTTTGTATAAGAGATGATACCAGGTCTGTGTACTGCCCAGAACATAGGGGGGAGAACAGGTTTCTGCCACCGTCCCATTCTGTACATTGCAAGGCAACTGTCATTGTTAACAACTGGAGACGGGGCAATAGAGCATCTCTGGATGATTTTAATATACCACAAAATGTCTGTTTTGCTTTGTGAAGGCTCTGCTACGGATTTATTTCATGAATATGGTGCACACATCCAATTCTTCCGTCATGCAGTTTGCTCTTGTCTTCATTTTCCAAATGATACGAGTGGAATCATTAACCGTATGGGTGTTTACCGCGATACCTGGCGCAGATTTACGATCTAATCTGAGGTTTTTCAAAACTAATAAAAGTGTACTTACCATAAAGGATTGCCAGCAGAGACAACGGCATGACAAGTAGTCCCACTAGCATATCAGCAATGGCTAGGGACATTAAGAAGTAATTGGTGGCATTGTGCAGTTTCTTTTCCAAGCTTACTGCCATGATAACGAGAATGTTGCCACCTATCGTCAAGATGATTATTATGACGATGGAAAGTGCTGGCCAGTTTTGTACCCCGTCTGGGAATTTGAAGCGTCCACCATCGGAGGTATTGAAAATGTCAGTTACTAGAGCTGCAACAGGGCTCACAGAAATATCAAATTGCCAAACCAGTAGGCCAATGAGGTGCACACTGAAAATGAAGAAAAAAAAAATCGTCAGGTTCACATTGTATTGCTTATATGCAATAAATTGCTTATGCAAAACAACTACTTTGCCTTCAAGAGTCATTACCATCATCAATATTTCCGGTCTCTTAATTAAATCTCAGTATTTCTTCTTTCTATCCAAGGATATTTTTATTGAGAGCTCATTATGAGTCAAGCACTTAACTTATGGACATATAAATATATAATCTCGTTGGGTCTCACACAACAACTTCGTGGGGTCAGTATTGGTTTGTACCCATCATGTAGCCGAGGAGACTGAGGTTCAGAGAGGTTAAGTGACTTTCTCCAGCCAATATGGGCCACTAGGTGGCAGGGGCAGGGTCCATATTCAGGTGTCACTGATTTCAAAGCCTGTGTTTTAAACATCTGCTCTATACAAGCAATATAAAGCCAAAGTATTGTTTGATTTCCTGTAATGGTCTGTTTTTATATGTTTTAAATAGTAATTTCTTCTAGATGTTTTCTGAGACAAATGACAACAGAAGGAAAGGAGATTGTCCTTTAAGTATCCAGGACTGTGACAAGAAAATTGAACATTGCCTTTTGAAATGAAAAGCTAAGAAGGAATAAATTGTCCTCAGACAAACTTCAGGCAAGATGTTGGAAGAGGGAGAGTGGGTTTTGGCAACCCAAGAGAGTTCTTTCTAGAACTCTTCTTACCTTCTCCCAGCTGCAGAGTGACTTTATGCGGGTCCATACATATTAATAAACTTTCCTTCTGTCTAACACTCTCCTCATTTCTGTCTTATGTTTTCTGGGCCCTGTTCCAGGCTAGAAAATGATTGATTTGTGGTGATGACCAGTTCCTACGGGTTTGCTGCTTTTCCTGTGCTGGATACAAAATCTCCTCGGTCATTTAAAATGTGCATTTCTCATGACCGTGGTTTTGCAGATTCTGCTAGTAGGAATGTCAGGCCGGGTGGCAAACTAATGCAACAGAGATGGACGTGGTTATGTTTCGCTCACCCCAATTTAACTTCCCCCAGGAGTGATATGAGATTTATGGAGGTTCCATACATCACGTGCCCTCTCAAAGGGTACATCCCTAAAGGATCGAATAAAACTAACGTTTATTTTCATGAATACAATAGACAAGAAAGACAAGCATATTCAATATTTCTTGCTTAAAGGCAAGGATTGCCTGCGAATGTGCATTCTATGTTTTGATTGTGACTGTCATAACGATCGCTAATTATTATACGCACGGAGTTGCACACACGCAATACTTTCTCAACTTAAACTGGAACACTTGGGCTGAACAATTATTAGCATTTTAAAATCAAGTAAAATGTTGTAGTAATTTTCTAGAGGATTTAAAAATCATTTCTCTTAATATCTTGCTAATGCATGTCTATGTCTTTTAAGATAACGCAGCAGTCATGAAAATGTTTTGACTCTCTCATTCTACAGAGGATAGAAAACTACTATTTCAGACATTTTGCTTATCATAACTTCCTCATTAGTCAAAGTTACCTGGCATTCTAAGCAACATACAGAGGGTGACATAGATAGTGATTTTTTTTTTTCAAATAATCTGTGAATTCTTTCAAATGCTGGCTGTATTCTTTTCCTGGAACATAAAAAACAATACCGAAAATGATAGATGACTCAAAAAATCTGTATCATGAGTAATCTGTGATTAGTGTGAGTGGAAAGTATTGAAATAAAGGACCAAATAAATAGAAGCAAGTTCTTTGCTCTCAGCTTAAATTATTCTGTCACTGTAATTGCTGCTTTGGGCATGTGGTCAGTTTTCTAACCTCACGGCCTCAATGATTTTTTTGACCAGTCACTTAACCTCTCAGAGCCTCAATTTCTTCATCTGTACAACAAGGATGTTCTCTATCATACGATTGTTGTGAAAATTCAGTAATTCATGTAAAGTCCTGAAAATAGTACCTTTGTCCTAATAGGCCCTCAGTAAATATTGGAGCTTTCTTTTTGTCTTCAAAGTTAAAACAAAAGTATTTTGTGGTAACTATGCCCAAACTCATGTATTTCATAATTGGTGATGAATTCAAATCCTGATCTTATTTTTTTAGTACGATACCTCTTTATGCAAAACTAAGCTCAGGCAGTAATTTTAAACTGGGTCTTTTCTGGCCTGCCTGCCTGATGAAAAACGTGTCCTTCCGGCATTTAAAAAAAAAATTCTAGTTTAGGGGTGCCTGGGGGCTCTGTCGGTTAAGCATCCAACTCTTGGTTTTGGCTCAGGTCGTTATCTCATGGTTCGTGAGTTCCAGCCCCACATTGGGCTCTGGGCTGACAGTGTGGAGCCTGCTTAGGATTCTTTCTCTTTCTCTCTCTCTCTCTCTCTCTCTCTGCCCCTCCAGCATTCTCATTCTCTCTCTCTCTCTCCTCTCTCTCCTCTCTCTCTCTCTCAAAATAAATAAATAAATAAACTTAAAAAAATTTCTAGTCTAGGGGCGCCTGGGTAACTCAGTCGGTTAGGCATCCGACTTCAGCCCAGGTCATGATCCTGCACTTCGCGTGGGTTCGAACCCCGCGTCGGGCTCTGTGCTGACAGCTTGGAGCTCCAAGCCTGGAGCCTGCTTCAGATTCTGTGTCTCCCTCTCACTCTGCCCCTCCCCCGCTTGCGCTCTGTCTCTCTGTCTCCCCAAAATGAAAACATTAAATTTTTTTTTTTTAATTTCTAGTTTGCAATCACTAACGATCATCTCCGGTAGTCCCACAAAAGTTTATGCTCACAGTAAAACGCTGCATCTTCAATGGTCAGTTGTGAAAACATCAAAGTTGCCTAGGGAATACACATCCAACTTCAGTTTTCTAAGTAAGTTGTGAAAACATCAAAGTCTTTCCATATTTCTCTAAGAATAATAGAGGAATGCAGGATACAATCATATATAAAAAATACATGAAATACTAGTGGACAATTACCAATTTTATAATTTGAGTGTCTTATTGTGGGTAGAAAAACACTTGAAGTGGTGATCTTGCCTTCCTCTGCTGGTCAGATATATTTTTAATTTTCATTCAAGTGTCCAGAGACAAATACTGAACTGCTAAGGAAGCTTATAGAATCTAAATATATCTATTGACAGTTATAAAATAGTCTTATTGGGAAGATCCTGAAAGGTATCTTCTTTAGTTTCCTGGGGTCAACTCAATTAAATTTAATACATTCTTATTGAGTACCACTATGGGCAAAGCATTATAATTTTTATTAAAGTTCAAACCTATTTTCTATAGTTTTGTAATCAAGAATTGGCTATATTACAATTAAACCTAATTTCTAATATTTGCATACTCAGTGACATATATACAGTCCTTTTACAAAAAAAAAGAAGGAGAAAAAGAATGTTAAGTCTTGCTCCTAAAGCTTAATTGTTATTAAGACCACAGAAGTCTCAGAAAACATGCACACAAAAACCACAGTTTCTCTGTGGACAACGCAGCCAATTTATTCCGTGCTGCTAAATGTTTAATGAGCATATGATTCTATATTCTTAGGAGAGGAACAGGATGATCATTTGATGTAAAAATGTATACATTTTACATCTACTGTGTTTTTGCATGGCCTATGCCAATGGGCACCATGGGAAAAGATGGATTGTACCTTGTTTCTCTTAATAGAATGGACGAAATTCTGTATGGAGTCGTTAATGTCATACAGAATAATTTGGTGCCCTTAATGACAGTCCTACATTTTGGCATATGGACCAGTGGCTACCCGCTGAGTTGGCCCAGGGGCACGGAATAGAAACATCTGTCCTTTCATTTCCCATACTTGACTCTTCTCTATCTTTATCACCGTCCTTCACCCTTTCCTTTTCCTGTCTGTTCTTGTTCTTTCAGAATCCCACACCTCTGAGACTAACGTCACCACCACGTACAATGACATCCAAGATACGGCTCTCGGGGCATGTCTTGCAGAGGTTCCAGCGTTGATGTGCTTTTAACCGACACTAGTCCATCAGCTTTTTCCTGGATGAGCTCTTTTACAGAAATCATAGAGGAGACTGTAGGAGCAAGGTGACTCCAGGCTTCCCAACTGTACTGATCAAAATTGACAGACCCCCGGATCTTTTTTTCCATGTCCCATTTCTCAAAGAGTGGGTTTAGAAGAAAGCAGCCCAACCTTTTCTTAAGTTAAAAAGAAGATATATTTGGATTAGATTACATTTAGCATTGCCCAGTACTGGATCCAAATTCTTATTTCCTTTATGTGGCATTCCACTGACCTTAACTTCTGGGTCATTGTGTCAAGAATTTGGAGGATGGCATTGTTTTCCTCTGGCTAGCTACACCCCCAGCCTCTACTCCCTGACTTCCGACCCATTCTTTTGCAACCTCAACTCTTCCTTTTTTTTAATGTTTATTTATTTATTTTGAAAAAGAGCGTGAGCAGGGGAGAGGCAGAGAGGGAAAATCCCGAGCAGGCTTTGCGCTGTTTGTGCTGTTCGCAAAGAGCCTGATGCAGGGCTCGAACTCTTGAACCGTGAGATCATGACCTGAGCCGAAATCAAGAGTCAGACACTTAATTGACTGAGCCAAGCAGGTGCCTCTCAGCCATTCTTCATAAAAGCAGAAACTTGTGGAGACACTTTACCCTCTTGGTTGTTTAGTCCATGCAGGAAGGAAAAGGAAAAGACCTTTCCCGTTTCTACATTTGAACCATAGAGAAAGCAACCCTGAACACTGGAATTGTTTTTGAATTTAAGATCTTATTGCCATATTATTAATTTGAATACATAAGCAGTTGTGTTTAATTGAAGCCCAAGTTATTGGGGCTTTTTCCATTTACTTTTGAACAGGAAACACCCAGAATATTAATCTACGGGGTGCAAGTCATTTATGCAATTTGAGGCAAATCTAGCTGAATGATCATATAAAAGCCCTTTTAACATTTTTGAGCAAGCTACCATTAAAAAAGTTATCCTTTAGAAAATAGTAAGTAATAACATCCTTACAGGAACGAATGCACCGCTTTCCTCAGGTTCACCATGATTGCTTCGGTGTTAAGCAACCAAAGTTTAAAGTTGAGAAGTGGAAATGTAACAGATTGAATTCATAATTCCATCCTTTCTGGGGAAAGAGAAAAAAAAAAGAAAAAGAAAATTAGTGAAATGTCCAAATAACTTGCATTACAACCAATTAGGTAAACTTAAATGTACTTATTAAGTGATAAGAAACATATAAGTGATAAAAAATGGCAGAGAATAAAGTTTGCGTTTATTTACATATACAACCGTCATAATGTTTCTTTCCTTTTTTTTAGTTTTCTTAAAAATTTCTTGCATGCACTCTATTTCTATGGGACTTCTACTAAATCTCTTATTTTTTTTTTTTTAATTTTTTTTTTCAACGTTTATTTATTTTTGGGACAGAGAGAGACAGAGCATGAATGGGTGAGGGGCAGAGAGAGAGGGAGACACAGAATCGGAAACAGGCTCCAGGCTCTGAGCCATCAGCCCAGAGCCCGACGTGGGGCTCGAACCCATGGACCGTGAGATCGTGACCTGGTTGAAGTCGGACGCTTAACCGACTGCGCCACCCAGGCGCCCCCTACTAAATCTCTTCTTAGAGCACACATAGCTTCCGATCGGTGTTTGGAGAAAGAAATTAAGAATATACGCTTCTTAATTTGCAAAGCATTGGGGGAAAGTTTGTGATGTCATAATTAAGTAGCAAGTATAACATGTATCAAAGGTTTCATTTTCTAGGAACATGGAAAACTAAAATAAGTGTTTTTTTTTTTTTAAGTTTATTTGGGGGGGGGGGTGCAGAGAGACAGGGAGAGAGAGAGAATCCCAAGCACCTTCCACGCTCAGTGTGGAGCCCCATGAGGGGTTCAATCGAACGCACCAAGAGATCGTGACCTAAGCTGAAATCAAGAGTCGAAGTTTAACCGACTGAGCCCCCCAGGCACCCCCGATTCTAAATACTTTTATGAAGTGAACATATTTTGTGCAACATTCCTAATTTATTTTCTTCAACTTGAAGGAATCTGCATTCACGTAGCTTTATTTGTACTTTTGCATCAACCAACAATATTCTCCAGAGAGCAGCACTGGGTTTATACCAAAATAAATGGGCTGCAGTGGGTGTCAGTGACAAAAAAATGTAGTTGTGGTGGAAGAAGGGGCAGAAAGAGAGTCTTGAATAGCTTGAGAATGTGGGATAACATTGAAAAATCCTCTGTTCTGTCTGATTTAGGAGTATTTCCAAGGGATGTGAGAAAAATTTGTTGATAGTCTTTTTTAGTGTCTTGTAGTTCCTTTTAGAAGTCTGGAAGTAAAATTTGACTGGAACAAATTGTACCTCCTTATATTTCCCATCTCATTTAGTAGCGCTATTATTCTAGTCACTCAAGCTACAAATTTAATTTATTCTTCCTTCTTATCCCTCACCTCTCACTTGTGAGTTCTATCAATGCCACCTACACAAAATCTTCCTCATAACCGTCTCTTTCATTACAGCAATGCATAAAATATGGCCTCCAGTATTCAGAAACAAAATATTCTATGGGAGAGATCGAGTGACATTCGCCAGATCATTAGTCAGACCATTTTTGTCCCATAAAATGCCGCCAGGCAATGCATAAATCCCTTTTTCTGGGAGGTCTGGAAATAAGTGACAGGAAAAATAAAAAAGGATACAGAAAGACAAAAAGGTCTTATTTTGCATCTTTGTCCTCAAGAGACATCAAAATCCTTCTCTTTTCCCAATATTAAAATATAAAAATTGTTCCTAATGCTTGCTTTTCAAGAACCTAAAAATTAATATAATTTAAAAGCTTCAAAGTAAAATACGCTTCATTGCGATATCATTCAATTGGTAACAAATCAATTGAAACTGTGTTTGCCATAACTCGATATGATAACCATCTCATTCAACATTATATTATCCATATTCTCAGCCATGGTAGAGTCCTATTTATTGCCACTCAAAATGCCACATTTCTTTAAAAATTAATTGCTCTTGGAGCACCTGGGTGGCTCAGTCGGTTAAGCGTCCGACTTCGGCTCAGGTCATGATCTCACGGTCCGTGAGTTCGAGCCCCGCGTCAGGCTCTGTGCTGACAGCTCAGAGCCTGGAGCCTGTTTCAGATTCTGTGTCTCCCTCTCTCTCTGACCCTCCCCCGTTCATGCTGTCTCTCCCTGTCTCAAAAATAAATAAACATTAAAAATAATTTAAAAAAAATTAATTGCTCTTGTCATCTTTTTTACGTGTATATTTTCCCATGGAATATCAATGGAAAAATTAAAAAACAATTATTTATTTTTCTAAGTTCCAAATCTCACAAGTAATAATCACAAAAGTATATTATGTATATAGATGTCCAGCTTATTAACTAAAATACCTTAAGGACAAAGTAGTATCTTTCTGTACTGTTAAAATTTGCATTTTTTGTTGTTCACTAAAACTGACTAAACCTGACACAAAGTGCTCCCGGATTGGTGGTAAAAGTTTAGAAATATAATACGATGGACAGGAATAAATTATGTAAATTATGTAAAGTGAGTAACGGTACATTACATGTTTCCCCAAAGGGCTAAGTCACTATGACAATATTTTGCAATGAGAAATGTTTTGTGAGTAATCCTACAAAAAGAGGAGGGAATACAAAACCTCTTAAAGCCTTGGATAAGACAACAAGAGAAACAAAAAAAAAAAAGAGAGAGAGAGAGAGAAACACAAAACAAACCCATAACAAAACAACACTAACTGAACACTCTAATCTGCAAATCTCTCAGACCCCGCCAATCTTTCATAATGAGATTCTCATGGTTGTGTTGAACGAAAAAAAAGGAGACCTGTGAACTCAGTATTCAAGTTCGGGAAGACTTGCGTTTTCTAAAATTAAGAAAATTAAAATTAAGAAAAAATCACTGGTGGGATAACTGATAGAGTGATTCATTTTAAATGAGAATCTATGTGGCTCTCATAGAAATTGTGTTTGGTCATGTGACAATGTGAAAGTATTATAAGAATATGTATACACATTTATATGTGTATGTGTGCATATATACATGTGTGCATATATACATATATATATGTATGATATACATATATATTCTCTATATATACATATATATTTCTCTTTTGTGTAGAGAAAATGACGGTTGATCAAAAAAAAAATCACAGGTTAAATCACAGACATAAGTTCAAGATCAGTAAATACATATTTGGACTAATCTCATATTTCTTTCTGCAACACTAGTCACAAATTTCTCATGTTCTCGCTAAAGCTTTGTAAGATCTTCCGACATCAATAACGGTAACTGCATTTGCCAGGTCAAAAAGGGGAACAAATCGTGGTTTTCGTATAGTTCTCAAACAGTACAATTTTATACAAGATATGGCAGAATAACTTCAATTATTTTTTTTTCATTTTTTTCAATTTTTTTTCTTTTAAATGCTGATTTTTGAGAGAGAAAGAGCGTGCATGCGTGTGAGCTGTGGAGGGGCACAGAGAATGGGGGTCTGAGGATGCGAAACAGGCTCTGTACTGACAGCAGACCGACCGATGCGGGGCTGGAACTCACAAACCGTGAGATCATGACCTGAGCCGAAATCAGACGCTTAACCACCTGAGCCACCCACGCGCCCCTAATGTGGAATTTTAATTAAGCAAGACTCATACCCTGAGCATTACATGTAATTGATGCCTATGAAATCTGTCCTCATATGTCAACATATGTTATGTGTCAAATAGCATATATTGTCAAAAATAGTGTGAATACTTGAGAACAACTGAGCCAAAATAAGGTCCCCAGTGTATATTCAGAAATTAGTTTCAAACACTCAAAGTTTATCAGTATCACTAAAAAATACTTAAGAGCCATTATCCATAACCATCTTGGAAGTGAAATATGGAAAATAAAAACCCACTGTGGGCCTTCCCACATGGCCTCAGGCTAGACTTGGAAATGTGTGAATTTCAGAGCTAATTGGTGTGGTTCCTGTAACAGCTCTAAATAAAAGAATGACTGTCATGGGAACTAAGAGCTCTTCAGTACACAGCTCCTATTTTGACTCCTTCTTGATGGCATTTTAAGGGTTTTGCATGGGCATGAATTTAGCGACGCTCCACTTCCTGCTGAATTTAGTGATGCTTACACTTCCTGCATTCATTGAACAGTAACTTGATGGTTCGCCGGGAAAACCAGCGTTGTGCTCTCTTTAAGGGATACCTAGTTTTCCATGCCAATTTGCCATCCAAGGAGTGAGAGATATATGCGCATCCTGTGGTCTGTAGAATACTATATATTCAATTCATTTGCGAAAGACTACAAAGATGAGAAAGGGAAATCAACTTTGCATGTCATCTCAATTTTACACATATTAAATTTAGCTAATGGAAGAGCATCCACATGGCTCTGTATTGGGAGATAAAAACAACAAGGAAAACCCCACGATTTTGGATTCTAGTAAAGTCGTGGTTTAAGAGTCAAGTGTTAAAGCAGCAGAGAGTAGGCATTAAATTAGAGAAAAGGAAAAATCAAGGAGGGAAGAAAATAAAAATGGAAAAATAGGCAAAAAGGAAAATGTCAATGGAGACTGTTTTGAGAAGGAACAGAGTTCACGTTGTGCGATTTGTCTGAAAGAAGATAGCTGGTGACGTTAGCGTCATTTCAATACAGCCGTGCAGGAAGGATCTAGAATGTAGTTGGATGAGGGGGGAGAGAAGAGGACCATCCAGATGAAAGGAGGTGGTTGGTGAGGAAAGGGAAGATGTTCAAAGGGTTTTGGCGTGTACTAAATGTGTACTAAAGACAAATTTTTGAGAGGAAGAGCCATATAAAGGTCCTTTCCATGTAGCTCCCACATTCCTTAGCCAAGTGCTGGGGATAAAGCACTTGACTGATCCAAGGGAAAGGAAAGGGAGAGACTTGAAGAGATTTAAGGTGTGAAGTGAAATGATCCTAAGAATAAGAGCTGTGGTTTTTTGTTTGTTTGTTTTTTCAAATTGTGCCTGGAGAGGACAGAAGTCTATGACCGTATCAAAAACCGTGGACATTTCCTTCTATCTTCTAAAGCTCACCATTTAGAACTCATTTTTACTGTTACCTTTCCTATGC